AATAGCTGTGTGTGTGTGTGTGTGTGTGTGTGTGTGTGTGTGTGCGTGCGCGTGCGCGCGCGCGCGCACGTGTGTGTATAATTCTATATACATATACACAGAAATATATATATATAATATATTAAAGCGGGAAAATTATATTATAAACAGGCATTTTTTTTTTTGTTGAGAGAAAAGTTTATAACATTAATTAAAAGTAAAATGGATTGAAATATGAAGTGTACAAACATTTTAATTCAATTTCTACTATTTGAATTATTTTACATAAAATTAATACATTGTTTTATTATCATATTTATTAAATATAAGTCTACTTATATTTAATTTTATAATATTGAACATATTGAATATATTAATATTTTATTAATAGCATGTCTTTTAAGATTTTTTATTTGGTTGAAAGAGATTTTGATGTTCATATGGTCAATTTCATATGGTCAATATGGTCAGTATGGTCAATATGGTCAATGGTTATTAATTTCTGTGATTTATTTACAGTATTACATAGATTATTTCTGATGTTTTTAAATATTAGAGGATGCATAAAAGAGTCTGATATCTGAATCCGTTTTAAATTGCGTCGTGCGAAATTACAATTTATACGCAGATATAATCTTTCGAAATGCACTTGGCAACTGTGAGCTGTCGTGATGTTCGACCTTTCCCACTGTTTGACTTCCAAACTTTGCCAATGACGATTCTGATTTTTTTCTTGAAGATTAGAAAAGAACTCTATTTTTGTTTTTTTGATTTTGAAGTAAGTTATTGAGCCTTTTGCATATCTTTTCGTCAACAAAGCTATAATTTACATTTTTTTTTCATTAAAATGCCAAACAATGATTATATTCCAATTTATGAGTTCAAAAATGGAAGATAGATGTTAAAAATTTTAATAATAGAATATATTTGAAAATATTTATGCATTATGTATTATATTATGTATTATAAAAACAAAACATTTAATTGTCGATATATTATATAATAATACTCTTATTTTTTGAAAGTAATATTTTCGTTTATTTAGAAAAGCACATAAAATACATAAAAATTTTTTTCATAATACAAGAAAATTATGTTTTTCAAATATGTTGCAATACCGGTGGCAGAACTTTACAAATCTTTCTATACATTTTATCTCTTAAATGTAAGCGTTTCGTTCACATTTTTCAGATTCTTGGCCAAAGATTCGTTTCTCTTACTATTTGTCACTTTTTGCATTTCCGCTAATCTCAAATGTACAACAAACAAATGCGAATCTCCTGCATTTGTCTTCTAAGTTGTCCCGGCTAAATTACGATGTCGTACGATATAATACTGAAAACGAGGTTTGTAACATGTTTTATTCGTATAAGAGGGCAAATGCGTTAACTAAAACAAAACTGAGATTGCAGTGAAGATTGAGTCTCTCTTTATAAGGAATGGTTGATCTTGAAATATTTTGCTCAAACATTGTTATATATACATACACACACACACACACATATATATATATATTTTTTTTTTCTGAGAAAACTCAGATAAATATAAATAAAATACTAGAAATATTGAGTGTGTGCATCAGATTTTATCGTTGAAACTATTTTTTTGTATACTCCAGAAGAAGAGAATAAAATTAATTTTTTAAAATTATAAATTATTAATTGTTTTAAATTATAATTATATATTTTTTATATATTTGATCATTGTTTATTTTTTTTGCGCTTGTACTTATTATACATTTCAAGACATTTTCATTTCATATATTTTTTATTGTCACATGTTTTGTTGTGACAGAATGAAACAGGTAAATTTTTTTATCCTATTTACATGAAATCATTTAAACATTATACTCTTATAAATTGACTGAACTTTTCTAGTTCAATTTTCATAACTTCTTTATCACGCGTGTGTGTGTGTGTGTGTAAAAATATGTGACGGTGTATGGTGTGTGATATTTAATGACTGTTATCACACACATATTTTCTTTCACCCCCACATTATCTATTCACGTATATACATAGAAATGGTTTACTCCTAACGCCTTTTTTTTACAAATCCGCCATCTTTTCGCAATCGTTCGTTTGGTTATATCGAAGATACGATGACGTGCGATTTATCGTCGAGCATGGCCATCTTGCTCCAGCGAGCACGTTGCGTCTCGTCGGAGAGCAGCGCGATTACGGCGATGAATGTTTCTTCGTCTTTGAACTTCACCAATGAAAACTCTCGCTGACCGACTCCAACTTTGAGGCTCGTCTTGGCTCCGCCTCTGGATTACCGATGTGGTTGCAGTGATTGGCGAAGTTCGGTTGGGAACCAAGGGCGTGCAGCGATGCCTTATTTCGAGATAATCTACTACCTATTCGGATCGTCGTTGCGAAAGTGTTTCATCCCTCGAGTCTCGAGTTAGATTCTGCAACGATGTCGATCAATTCCAAAGTGAAATTGTATCAAATTATATGAATCAAATATTGCGTATATTCAAATTATATAGCAATGTAAATTTACAAATATTTTAAGTTTGCAATTAATTCTAGCATGTATATGCTAAATCGTGCATTATTATATGACGAAACATATAAATTACGGTTGCGCATCGCACAAATAATTTCTATTTTACGATACATTCATAGAGATTTGGACCCTACATCTTTTTCAGTAGGCTGAAAAAAACGAATGAAAAATAGATGAACTATAAGTGAGCAAGCAGGAGATTAATTTCAAGGGTCATAGTACTCCAGATGTCACACGATAATATCTCTTTATCGCATATTTGCGTTATTGCTCATAAATTGGATTCTTTGCACCGCGGTCCTAAATCGTAATGCGCATATATACCTACGGAATACATTCGATATAGACAGAGATAAATAGATAGGGGTGGCTGTGTATGTACTCGAATACATGTACGTATATACGCGGGAAGGTTAGTCCACAAGGGCCAGGCAGGCGAGTCTCTCTTTCGCCGCTGTATTGACGCGCGGCGTTCAGGCTTGCGCGAGATGACGCAATCTCCCTCCCACCTATAATATCGTCCGTTTTCTCTCTCTCTCTCTCTCTCTCTCTCGCTCGCTCGCGCATCCCTCTCACCGATCCCTCCGCCTCTCGCGAGCCCCCTTCTCACCCCGGCCGCTCATTCCGCAGCTCAGCTGCGCCCCCCACTCCGGCGCTCCCTTCCGCAGGCGCAGGTCTTCCGTCGCGCGCGCCTCGTCCCGCGCCCGGCGCCCACAAGTTCAATGCCAAGGTCAAAGCGGCCACGACTCGCAACCGTGTTGGTCGTAAGTGTTCGCGATACTCGTTCGTTCTCGAGGAGGAGAGGCGGCGAGAGCAGCTCGCTCACTCGCTTGTTCCGTGTGCGTCCGGTGTCCCTCTTTCCGTGTACGCGCGCCGCCGCTCGTCTCTTCCTCGACGATGGCGAGAGTAAAACGCGTCTCGTCTCGTCTCGTCTCGTCTCGACTCGACTCGTCTCGACTCGTCGCGTCGCGTCGCGTCGCGTCGCGTTCCGTTCGTCTGTCCCCGCCCTCCGCCACCCGCCGTCCCGGCGCCGCCTCTCGTCGATGCGACGTGATGGATGCGTTCGTTTCGTTCCGTTCCGTTTCGCGAATCGGGTTTCGTGCGCGCTACGTCAAGTGTGTTGGTCGACGAGCAGATTTCGCAGGTGCAGACTATGCTCGACTATGTGCGTGACGATGACGAGCGAGCAGACATTTTGAATGCGCGACGTCCGAGTGCCGTTTCCGAGGTACCACTCTGCTCCCCCCCCCCCTCTCCCTCCGTCCCTCATGCCATGTCGGAGCGCGGATATTTTTAAGCGCGATGTTGTCTGAACGCGCGAGAATTTCGGCCGCGAGAGCTTCGCCTTCGTCTTGATCTCTCTCTTTTTGGAAACAACGCCGACGTGGGCGTCGACGAGGAGGGACAAGGAACAGCGGAGGAGAGGATAGGTGGTGCGCGTTGGCGATCGAAAGCGTCGATTTGTGATCTCGTGAATCTCCGCTCCGCGGGCGGGAAGGTCAGCAAGGTCGGCAAGGTTATACGCGCGCAGCGCACAGATGGATCTGTCCCGCGGAAGGAGCGGAATCCCCGCGGAGAGTAAGAGAGAGAGAGAGAGAGAGAGAGAGAGAGAGAGAGAGAGAGAGAGAGAGAGAGAGAGAGAGAGAG